CTTCCGAACAGGAGGCGGGAACGGCCGAGTGTGCCAGGAGGGCAGCTGATGCCCGGCGCCTCCTGCTGCTGGTCCCTTTGATGCCGTTGACCCCTTTGAGATTCAGAAAAGCCGTCCAGGGTGGCTAGCTCCCCACCCCAGCTCCCAGCACAGCGTCCTCAGTGGGGGCCAGTGCTGTGAGGCAGGACGGTGACGGCCCTGAGCCGTCCTGTGTCCTCCGACACGGGCCCTGGGAGAGGCCTCCAGCCCATGCTTGTGACCCTGAGAAGCAACCGCCCCCCGCCCCCCACAGCTCTCTCAGACCCCGTGGCAAAGGAGAGCTGCATGCTTAACCTGCTGCTGTCACTCCCGGAAGCCAACCTGCTGACATTCCTCTTCCTTCTGGACCACCTGAAAAGGTAACCCCAGCTCCTATGTGGAGGCTCAGGGCTCCAGGACCCCCAAGGGCAGCAATGGGGGGGGGTCCTCCGTGCTCCGCTGTCTCCCCGGTGTCAGACTCCCCGGCACCCAGGGCCTTCTCTCTACACCTGCCCTGGTCTGTGGTTATCCCCTCTGGGTACCAGAGCCACTGCCAGCCCCATCCCTCTCTGCCACGGCGAGTGGTGTACTCGGATCACCACCACCACCGCCCCCCATCCATCCCAGAACCGGCCCCTCCACCTGGTGGCCTCGAGCCCTCTTCATCCCGGGCCCCTCTGACCCAGAAGAGCCAGGGTGGGGTCTGCTTTCTGCACAGCTGGGGCTGAGCCCTTCCTCCCGGGGTGGCCTGGGTCCCCGCCCACCTCCATCCTCAAGGTGGTGTCACAGCAGCACCCGCTCTTCTGCCTCGGCCCTCCGCAGGGTGGCAGAAAAGGAGACAGTGAACAAGATGTCCCTGCACAACCTCGCCACGGTGTTCGGCCCCACGCTGCTCCGGCCCTCAGACAAGGAGAGCAAGCTCCCCACCAACCCCAGCCAACCCATCTCCATGACCGACAGCTGGTCCCTGGAGGTCATGTCCCAGGTACGATGGCCCTTGCCACCCGGCCTGACACAGGAGGCCTCTGTCTGCCCCTCCCTGCGTCCTGCCGGTGGTTCCCACCGAGTTGTGCAGGGTGGGTGTCCAAGGTTTAGAGAGGGACTTGTCCAGGGCCACGAGGCAGGGAGGAGTGGGGAGGACCCAGGCCACCGCTTTTTCCTCTGTACCTTCGTGGGGTTTCTCAGGGTCCGCCCCACCTGGCCGTCCTTCAGGGGCAACCAGATTTCTTGCTGTGAGAGGCTTGTGTCACCAAGCAGGGCCCTCGGGGCTCTGCTGGAAAGGCCTCGTCTCTGAGCCGCTGTCCCCTCCTGCTCTGCCCGGCAGGTCCAGGTGCTGCTGTACTTCCTGCAACTGGAGGCCGTTCCTGCCCCAGACAGCAAGAGACAGAGCATCCTCTTCTCCACCGAAGTCTGAAGGCCCAGCTCCACCTCCAAAATGGCGGCAGAACGGCCTGGGAACCTCCTAGGGAAACGGGCTGTCCACAGAGCAGGAACCGAACCTTCTAGAGGAGTCATTAGGCCACCCCCCAGGGCCAGGCTGCTGCCAAGAGACAACTACCCAAGGCAAAAGGCCAAGTGGCCTGGGCAGTTCCAGGCCCACCTCCGGTGGGGCCTGGGAACTCTGGGCTGGCCTCAGACTGTGGTTTTCTACGCCGCCACCAGAGGGCGCCCCAAGCCAGCCCTCGTGTCTCCGGTCACGGGCCTGGGCGGGACCAGGCAAAGGGAGTGGTTCTTACGAATTTAACTTATGAGAGTTTAAAGATTTCTGCTGGATCGCCTGTCGAGATGCACCCTCTCCAGGGAGAAGGGAACAGGAGCAGATTCCCTTGGTATCGTGTCTTGAATAAATACTGCTGCTGCTTCGTGCCCAGGGGCCAGGCCCTTGTCCAGCGTGGGTGGGGGCGTTTCGATTTCCCAGACTTAGAAATTCCACTCCTGTTTGTAACAGGGTTTGAAAAGCAAAATCTACACTGTGTAGCGCTTGACCCCTTTCACCTCCTTTCTTCTTTCTTTCTAGAAGGATTTGTGCAGAAATGGGTCTTCTTCCTGTTCTATCCTGTTGCTTTGTTTTTGCTGATCACATGCCCCTTGGAAGGCAGCTCCCTGAGGAGCTGCGTAAAGTCCAGGACCGGACACCAGGGGAGGGAGGCCCAGGCTGCGCACTTTATGGCTGGTTGTCTAGGGAGAGCGATCCCGTTCGCCATCCCGGCTGCCCCGCCGGGCACGCACTCTCCTCGTCAGCTCAGACAGGCCTTGATCTCTGGCCTCCTCCGGCCTGTGGCCCATCTACCCCCAAATCTCCCTTCCCCTAATCGTGTCCCGCTCCCCCACAGATCGCTTCATTCCTCACTCTTTGCTACACACACTCAGCAAACTTTTGTAAAGTTTTCCTCTGGGCGGCGGCAGCTTACCGACAGCTTGTTTTAAACTTTGATCTGAATAGCCTTTTGATACTTGAATATTTTTAAGTTTTATACATAGTTTCTAATTTTTTTCCTAACAGATTCAGATTCCTAATAAGATGTTAGAATGTACTCTGTGGACAATCTATGTCCCAGTGGCATCTCGTCTTCCTCTAAGCACCAGCTCTGCTTCCATCAGGAGCCACTTCTGAAGTCTCCTGAGCATCTGGAATTGGGGTGGTCGTGGGGATTAGGAGCAGGCTGGGCCGAGGGTAGGGGCTCCCATCCCGAAGCAGGCGGAGGGACAGAGCCCCCCACGCTCCACACACCTGTGCGGATGCCAGGATGCGCCTGGTAACCCTCCCGACCATCTGACTTAGAGGAAAGAGAACTGGGGAAACCACTAAGTATTTTGAAGAAACAAGTCTGTGAAGAATTGCATCACTTTTTTCAAAAAAGGGATGGGGATGAGGAGAGAAGAAACCTCCATGCTGGACTTGCAGGAAGAGAGGATGTAGCTGAACCGGAGGAGGGAAGCGGTGGCATGACTCAGGAAAAGGCGTTGGCTTGTCACGCGATTAGACCAGTAACAGGTAGCACTGTCCAGGACCCTTCCCATGTCCCTGGCGGGGTGGGAAGGCTCAGCTGGTGTGTCAGCGGGCAGCTCCTGCCCGAGGTCACGGCACACGGGGCCACGTGCCCCCCCAACTCTACCCTCTGCTCACGGACCTGCGGAGGCAGGGACGGAAAAAGAAGTCACTCGAAGGTCTTAAGTCTGCATACTGTATTTATTTAGTTGTACTTTTTTCTTGTGAGGAGAGCAGACCCACCGTTTTAAAGCCGTGCTGCTATCCTGGGGGATGAGGGCGGGGAGCAGGGTCCTCTGTGCTTTGCACGTCTCTGGGATCCATGGGTTTCCCGGGCCTCCAGTCCCTGGCCTCTTCTGGCCTGGCTTCCCATCCCCGTCTGGCCCTGCAGCGGGAACACACTTTACTTAGAAAAGCTAGACCTGGCCCCGGTTTCTTTTTCCCTGGAGTCTCATGATTTGCATCTGTCGCATTGAAACTGGAAAGCAATCTCTCAGTGTCTGTGCCAATTTTCGTTCCCTCCCCCCATCTCCTTCCTCTATTTGCTTTTTATTTATGTAGGATGCGTGGTGTTTAGTGATGGAATGACCACTCTTTCTTGTTCCGCTGTCAAAGCACTCCTTTGCCGAGCCTCAGTGGTGGTGGTCGCTTTGGGTCGCTGGGCGCCCCTGTCGTCCGTTTGACACTCAGGCCTGAGGGTCGGCAAAGCCAGTGGGCAGGTGATTACCTGGAGGCCAGACGTGACCTTCCACAAGGCTCAGCCGCTGGACTTGGCAATGAGAAGTGATGCCTTGCCGTCTGGGCCCTAGGTCTGGGTCTGGAGCCTGAGCAGAGGGCAGCCCAGCCTCAGGCTGCAGGTGGCAGGCAGTCTCCCCGCAGCCACATGTCTGAGTTTGAGCTCGGCCATGTCTGTACCACCACAGGGGAAAGGACAGCTGCCACTTTCATTAAAGTTCCCCGAGACGACTTGTGTCAGTGGTGATGGCTGCAGTAGAAGGAAACACCATGATCAGAGCCTCTGGGAGCATCCCCGGAGCCACTGGGTTGGGGCTGAGGGCGGGCATTGGAGCTGGAAGAAGAAGCAGGTGGTGTGGAGGGGTGGGTGTCCAGGAGGCCTCCCTGAGGGCAGTGGGCACTGCTGGGGACAGCCCAGGCCTAGGGCGCCCACTTGCCCACAGGCAGTCGCCCCGCTGAACATGGGGCCGTCTGGTTTGGGACGAACGGCAGAGGGGACACCAGCCATGCCAAGCCCAGGGGCAGGGAGGGCTCCAGCCTCACAGAGCCTAGCCCTGCACGAGCCCCTCAGCCTCTGGTTTCCGGTGGTGCTGCCAGGTGCGGCCTTTCTGTTGCCAGCAGACGGGACATGGGTCACTCTTAGCCGTCACCAGCCTTGCCCACAGAAAAAGCCACCCAGCTTACAAGGAAGCCACGTCCAGGTGGAGAGGGGTGTGCAAGGTGGGCTCTGCTGATGCAGCTTGGGACGAGCTAGGGCCACACCCACTCGGACCCCTATTGCTGTGCTCGGTGCCTGTCAGCCATCACCCCGAGGCTCCCCCAGGGTCTTCATGTACACCATGCCATCTGCCCACCTGACACCTTGCTGATAAGGAATGGGCTGCCACTGGCCCTCCTCCAAGTATTTGGCCCTTAAAAGGCTACTTAGCTCTCTCTATCCCTACCTTCCTATTTGAAAATCTGTTCCAAAAAAAGAAAAAGCCCCATTGCATCTCTCTTACTAGGAGTTGATTTGGGGGGCAAGCTGACTGTCCCCATGTTCCTGAGAGCAGGGGCTGTGTCCAGCCAAGCCCAGGCCAGTGGCATGGCCCAGGGAGCAAGACCGTTCACTGCTATGGAATTTGAGGTCTTACACCTCGAAGACCCTCAGAGGCCTCTTAATCCAATCCCTTTACTTGGTAGGTGGGTAAACAGGTGCGCAAAGGCCTCCCCACACACCCGGTGTCCCAGAGTTGGTTGAAGAACAGAGGCTGGGATCTTGGTGTCTTGATCCCTATAGGCTGGCTCCCTTTCTGCTGGACTGGACATGGCCAGCTGAGCAGGCCCTGCGCCGAGGCCCAGCGTCACACACGTACCCTGGGCAGGTAAAGGGGGGCAGGATTTTGTGTAGAAATCTCAGAAGAGCTTGTATACCCGCCCCCCCCAAAAAAGGATGCCCCAGCTGCCTTAAACGGAAGCATTTTCCATGATGAAGCTAATGATGGGCTGTCACAAACAGCTCCGGAAAAATAAACAGAAAAAGTGAGGGGGCGACAGACACACCAGCTCTTGAAGAGGCCCAAATGGCCTCCCAGAGCAGCTGCCATGGGTCAATGGGCAGGATCGGTCCTGAGAGTCACCTCTGGGTGAGGGAGCTGTCAGACCAGGGGAGAGAGCCCTGCGTCACCCGAGCTCTCCCTGGGTGGGAAGCCAGACAGGGCATGACAGACAGGCAGCCATGTAAACAGTTTCCTGGAAGATGGAGCCCTGCTGTGTCTCTCAGATGTGTCTGGGTTGGGAAGGAAACCAGCTGCTTGGGGGACTGAGGCTGCTCCTCTGCATGTCGCCAAATGAGATGCACCAAGTGCCTGGCCGGACCTCATAGGCCACATGTCCCAAGACAGGCCTTCTCAGGGCCTCTCTGGCCAGTTCTGCCAAGTCACCAAGGGCTCAGTCCACACACCGACTCCTTTCTGTTCCCCTCTTGTAGACGGAACCTGGCAGACCTGACCAGAAACTCTCCCTCGGGGTTTTCAGTCACTTGGTGGAAACGAGCCCAGCAGCTGGGGATGGGGAGGTTCAAATGGGATTCTGGCCGAGAAAGGGTCCCGAGGAGCATGGTCTACATGGGCTCAGGTCCTGAGCCACTGCCAGCTGAGCAGCCCCGGGAAGAGGGGGCACCAGGATGGTGGCCACCCGAGACGTGGGGCTTCCCCAAGGCTCGAGGACTTGAATGACCCCTGGGGGTGGGCCTCCCAAGCCCAAGGCCTGGCCCCAGGGCCAGCGTGGGAAACCGGGACTCATGCAGAGGGAAACAGATGCTGCAGCTGCTTGTTTAAATAAAACCACCACTTAAAAACTGCCTTGCTGGGTGGCACTGCCCTGGTTCCCTCTGGGGCTCCCCAGCCCCCATAAGCCCAGCCTCCCCACTGCCACTGGGCCAGAAGGAGGGAGAAGCAATGGGGAGAGGGGAATGGCTGCTGTTTCTTCTATTTTCTGAAAATAACGATTCCTATGTTGGGGCGGCGATCAGAAGTTAGTTGGAACAGGCTACGGCATCTGTGACTTTTGTCTGTGTTCTTCGTTAGATAAGCACTCCTGATCTGCATTTCCCAAGCAGGGCCCTTTCATCTGGTGATGGCCGGGAAGAGACTCCTGGGACTCCTGGTCAGTGGGCAGCGGCTGCAGGAGCCTGTCCACCCCAGCAGGCTGGCCTCTAGCCTCTGAGTCTCAGCCCACCCATGCCATCTCATGCTAACCCCGCCTCCAGGTGGTGACATGCTGGGGTACTAGAGGGTAGTAAATTCCTCCTCCACCAGCTGGCATTGTCCACACCCTCCTTGTGCTCCTTTCTGGC